GGCGCGACCCTGGAAACACTAAAGGTCACTAGCAGGCCCCAGGCCGGAGTGGGAGTGCTGAGGAGCTCGGAAAGAAGACCGAAAGTTCTTTTGGCTGCGCATACCCACCGAGAAATACCTCTTGGGCAGGGGCATAGAGAGAGCAAACTATTAATTGGCAGCTGCGAGGGGGAAAAAAGTGGAAGGGAAGGCTGGGGAATTGTACTCCTGCAGGGGGCGTCGCCCTTTCCTTGTCCCTTCGCGGCTGCAGTTGCCTGGCATCAATGCTTTTAGCAATACCAGGACAGCAAGGTGAACGGGGTGGGGAAAGGAACCCAGAGGCACAACGGCTCTGAGGACGCCCCCAATCTCTTCTCAATCTCATAAGAGCTTTATTTATTGATTTCTGGGGCTGCGTGTGTGTGTGTGTGTGTGTGTGTGTGTGTGTGTGTGTTGTTTGTTTGTTTTATTTTTTGCTCTTTGGCAATTCCAGGGCTCCTACTTCATTCTCCTCCACCCTCATTGCACCCCCACCTACCTGCTTGCTCACCCTGCGGAGCGGGGGTGGGGTGGAGGAGAGCCCCTGAATGTCTTCTGAAAAGACCCCAGGACATAATCACTCATGTCTGAGGGAAAGGAAAACACAGATTGGACGCTGACAGCAGGACTAAAATCTGGATTCAGAAGAATATTTACTAAATACAGTCTGCTTATCAAATCCATCGCCTTAAAAAATTTTTTTCTTGCAGTGCGTGGCTTTTGCTTTTATCTCTCCTCCTTCATACGTATTTGCATAACCTGTTCAATAAAGCTCTTCAATAAGAATTCGTCTTGCTCCTGCTTGGAGCTCCACCTCCCTGGGTCTTTGGATTGTGGGGGTGAGGGAAATACCTGTGAGGGGAGGGGGGCACCGCAAAGCCTGGCCAGTCCGGGGACCCACCCAGCCCAGAGTTTGGCAATACCAAAGCTCCACACGTTTGTAGGCAGATGGTTAAGTTCCCCCAGGTTAGTGCCAGGTTTCAACGTCATGCTGTGATTTTGTTCTTCTGGAACGGGATGAGTGTTGCTTCTCTGAGCAGCCCTATTAGAACAGAAAGAAAATCCTCTAAATAGGCGGAACAAGGCATCAGGAGGGAAAGTTCTCTAAATGCACTTTAATATGAGCCGGGTATTGTGTGGAATTCAGCGCCCATCACCGTTTAGCCGGAGAGTTATGGCAGTGATTGGGGATGAATAGAGGAACATAATGGATACATGTGGCGTTTGCTCATTATATTCAAGTTAGCCCAACTCCGCAGTGGAAACTGTTCAACTTTCTCTCCCCTTAGCTTGTCACAGTGAAATAATACAGACATTGGGGCCTCCAATGGGATCGCCTGCCACGCCATTCTATTTCCACTGCTAACGAGGGCTTCATAAGCCTTTGATACAGTCTGATCTTTGAAACCTTTCCAAATCTCCTCAAGCTTATGCTAAATCCTATTTGGAACTTTTTTTTTTCCTGGCCTGCTAGCGCCCAGGGCTTAAGAAAGCCATTTGGACAGTGACATGCATACTAACACATCGCAGAGCTCTTTTCTGAAAAGGAAGTGGCAGCCTTGATGGCCGTCGCTCACACGAGTAAAACACAATTGCGTACACAAATTTGAATAAAATCAATTCTCTCTTATCCTTAGGACTCCTAAATCGAGAGAATGTATCTGAGAGCTTTGGAAAGCTGGGAGAGAAAGCTAGTAAAATCTTACTGGGTTAAGCAAGTCAATGGAGAAAAAGGAACGAGGTTTAGGAAAGCCTCTAAGATGCAAAATGCAGAGTGGGTGGGGGGTCCCTCACCACTACCCCGAAATCCAAGGTTGTTTTCAGTTCAAACAGCCGGCCCTGGACAGGCACAATTAACAAAACCATCCACCCCCTTTAACTCCCGGCGACCTGTGCCAACTCCTCTGTATTCAGGGCGCTGACAGGAAAGGAAAAAAGGCGAAAGGAGTTAAACAAAGAAAAGATTCCCTAATTTTCCTTTCTTGTTTTCCCCTCTAAGCCTTTCCACATTAAAGGGATTGTCAGAGGCTGGCGTAGGAGCGGCGCGAGCGTGAAGCTGCCATTGGCTGCCCGGCTCTGGTTATTTGCATATCGGCTGTTATAAAAGCGGAGGCGGCGCGCAGCAGCGCAGCTCCAGCAGCTATAGAAGGAAGGGAGAGGTGTGTAGTGTGGACCGGACTGAGCGTCCTCAGAGCCCGCCGGAACCTCGAGCTGCAGCCCACAGATCTCCCGCACTGGGCTCGCAAAGAGCGTGCTCGGAGGAGCCTGGGACTCACGCCCGGACCTGCACCTGCAAACCAGAGACGAATTGCTCCCTCAGCTTTTTGGAATAGCACTTGGGGCTAGCGGCATGAGTCCGGTGAGGCGCGGGGGCAGCCCCTGCCTTTTCCCTTTACAGCTCTTCAGCCTCTGTTGGGTGCTTTCAGTGGCCCAGAGCAAGACAGTGCGATACAGCACCTTCGAGGAGGACGCTCCTGGCACGGTCATCGGGACCCTAGCTGAGGACCTGCATATGAAAGTATCCGGAGACACAAGCTTCCGCCTGATGAAGCAGTTCAACAGCTCGCTGCTCCGAGTGCGCGAGGGCGACGGGCAGCTGACCGTCGGGGACGCAGGCCTGGACCGCGAGCGGCTGTGCGGCCAGGCACCACAGTGCGTGCTGGCCTTCGACGTGGTCAGCTTCTCGCAGGAGCAGTTCCGGCTGATACACGTGGAGGTGGAGGTGAGGGACATCAACGATCACGCGCCGCGCTTTCCCCGGGCCCAGATCCCCGTGGAGGTGTCCGAGGGCGCGGCTGTGGGCACGCGCATCCCGCTGGAGGTGCCTGTGGACGAGGATGTGGGAGCCAACGGGCTGCAGAGCGTGCGCCTGGCCGAGCCTCACAGCCCCTTCCGCGTGGAGCTGCAGACGCGCGCGGACGGCGCCCAGTGCGCGGACCTGGTGCTGCTGCAGGAGCTGGACCGCGAGAGCCAGGCCGCCTACAGCCTGGAGCTAGTGGCCCAGGACGGCGGCCGCCCGCCGCGCTCCGCCACTGCCGCCCTCAGCGTGCGAGTGCTGGACGCCAACGACCACAGCCCGGCCTTCCCGCAGGGCGCCGTGGCCGAGGTGGCGCTGGCGGAGGACGCGCCCGTGGGCTCCCTGCTGCTGGACCTGGACGCAGCCGACCCCGACGAGGGCCCCAACGGCGACGTGGTGTTTGCCTTCGGTGCCCGCACCCCGCCCGAGGCGCGCCGCCTCTTCCGCCTGGACCCGCGCTCGGGCCGCCTCACCCTGGCAGGACCCGTGGACTACGAGCGCCAGGACACCTATGAGCTAGACGTGCGGGCCCAGGACCGCGGTCCCGGGCCTCGGGCCTCCACCTGCAAAGTCATCGTGCGCATCCGCGACGTCAATGACAACGCTCCGGACATCACCATCACCCCGCTGGCTGCCCCGGGCGCTCCTGCCGCCTCTCCCTTCGCCGCCGCCGCCGCCGCCGCCGCTCTCGGGGGTGCGGACGCGACCTCGCCGACCGGACCTGGAACGCCGGAGGCCGGCGCCATCTCGCTGGTGCCAGAGGGGGCGGCGCGCGAGAGCCTGGTGGCGCTGGTCAGCACCTCGGACAGAGACTCGGGCGCCAATGGGCAGGTGCGCTGCGCCCTCTACGGGCACGAGCATTTCCGGCTGCAGCCGGCCTACGCGGGCAGCTACCTGGTGGTGACCGCGGCGTCCCTGGACCGCGAGCGCATCGCTGAGTACAACCTGACGCTGGTGGCCGAGGACAGAGGCGCGCCCCCTCTACGCACCGTGCGGCCCTACACGGTGCGCGTGAGCGACGAGA